CTCCTCAGCATGGCTTCCTAAAAACGCTGCAGGATTTCTCAAACATGATGAATGAGTCAAAGCAAGGCTTTGGGCATGTTTTTTATGAGAGTATAACATTATAACATGATATAAAACTCAAAAAGTTGATTTTACATGATATTGCCCCTTTAAAAGATAATTTATTGTCATTTCAACCCCTAAATGCCATGGGAAAATGTATTTTTATTAAGTTTATTATGTTGGTTTTATTAGTTCATTGTTCCCTATRCATTTTWAAAAATAAAAACCAAATTAACAAATTTAGTGACATTTTTTGAGGACCCCCAAGATTATTATGTTGGTTTTATTAGTTCATTGTTCCCTATGCATTTTAAAAAATAAAAATCAAATTAACAAATTTAGTGACATTTTTTGAGGACCCCCAAGATACCTCTCACGGACCCCTGGGTGTCCTGAGACCCCAGTTTGAGAACCTCTGGTGTACATAAAGAGGTGGGACATCAAAAGAGGCCTGGCACTTGCGCGCCTCGCCGCAAACCAACAGACTCCAGTAATTGGACGCTCATTTAAATATCGGCGTCGACTAACAGAGATTGTGCCATTATTTTTGTGCACCACAAGTGCTACATCAGTCCACTTCCACTTTTCCTCATTCTGTAGGGGATCCACCCCCCGCCACCCCACCAACTCCTCCCCACACTCACCCAGCAATCAATATTGCCTCTCATGCGATGCCCATGTTGAGGGCACATGAATAAACAAATCCACGCCGTATAAAAGGTCATTTTTAAATGATTCTTTTGAAATGAAAATAAAATCCTGCGGTTGCGGAAAATGCGGCCCCAACCCCCCCACCCACCACCCCCGCGGACACAGAGCCCCTTTCCCCTTGGCTTTCTGTTGATTCTCATTACGCTCACACACAATCACTCGCGCACACGCTCTAATTTGATGCCCTCAGCCACCTCTTCTCAGCGAAATCAAGGCTTTAACACAAATGTTAATCAAGTATTGGCGAGGGGCAGTGGAGCTAATATGCAAAAGCAGAAGACCCTTCAGAGTGTGAAAAGAGGCATATGCTGTGGGTACGGCAATCAGACGTGCCTGGTTAGATGCAGGAAAAGTAGGTAAGAGGGAGTAAGAGGAGAGGGCGGTGCAGCGGACACCTGCCTTTTCATGTGGCAGGCCAGGATTTGGCTAACAACCTGGAAATATGCTTTATCAGGTGTCTGAAGTGGCAAAATGTTGATATATTTGACTTTAAGTTTAACGACTAGATGTATGATGAAGCTTTACATTCATGTTGAGAAAGGTGAAAGTCAAACAGAGGTGGGCAATAACAAAGTAACTTTACCTGAGTACTGTACTCATTTAAAACAAAACAACATAAATTCAATATACAATACAAATACAAATTATAAACCAAACGAAAGGCAGCAGAAGAAGAAAAAAATCTTAGGATTTCTGCCCCCTTTTGTCAAATAAATAAATTCAATCAAAAATAATCTTCAATTTACAAAAACGTACAAAATAATAAAAGAAAACCAATAAAGGTTTAATTCCTTCTTGAGCAACAATTCGTACATTATACCCATACATGTTTCTCCAACAAATTAACCTTTATCATTCTCTTAAATATACACACTGATCTGGCATTTTTAACGTCATCTTCCAGATTATTCCATAATTTAATTCCCTGGACTGAAGTACTCTGTTCTCTCAAACTGGTTCTAATTTTAGGTCTTACAAACATTCCCCTTCAGATTGTAACAACTCTCTCACTTACTTACTGTCCTTAAGTAAGTACTTAAGTACAGTTTTTGAGAATACTTATTTTTTTTGAAAACTGCTTATTTTTCTCAACTATATTTCTTTAAAGACCTGACACATTTGGTCCACTTTAAACARACCAGAGTTTGTTTTTTTTAAACAAATAGTCAACCTCAGCATYCAGGTGCTTACGTTTCTCTGGGTTAACTCTATAAAACTGTTGCTTTATAGGCTGTGCATCACCCACATCAATATCATGTTCGATYAAATTTGAGCAGGATGGAACATCTGCAAAAAGTTCAGAGTAACAGTTTATCAGCTGAATCAACTCAAAACATTGTGCCTCTGGCAAATAACTTAGCACAACGTCCAGGTTTTCCAAAACTTCAGAGTTATTAAGTCGACCAGTTAACATTGCTGAATCTGAAGCAGGCAACCCATCTTCATTCTATTCAGCTTCAGCAGATGTTACTGTGTTACCAACACACACAGGGTGAACTTCATCCACCAGAACTGCATGAACATGATATGTTTTAAAAGGTTAACATGAATCATTTGCTGTTTCTTCTTTCGTTCTGGAGTAGCAATAAGATAGTTTTGCTCTGAMAACTGCTTCACCACWGTATATGGACCACTCACAATAGGACAGCAGGCTAGTACTTGGTCACCTGAAAGAAAGACACAATGTTCTGCTTTCTTGTCAAACACCCCATTGGTCCGGACCTTTCATGCAGGTATGAATAAACTCATGCGAACCCTGGTGCGGATTAAACAACTGGACCGAGACCCATTTTTGAGGTGGTCTCAGCCCGCTACCCTATGAACTCGTTGTGGTTAGCTTCTGGTGTGAATACAAACCGGTCTTGAATCGAATCAACTACAGGAAACATGCATCTTTTTGGACTTCACAGGCCACCATTGCAATGTATCATGGTAACAGTTAGCATCCAGTGTTGCTAACGCTACCACTACAAACAATGAGCCGTTGCGGGGCAGCAGAGCATCTCATCTCATTTGGGCTGTGGCACGCATTTGCCAATGCCGTCCCAAAATCAGAAGTATATCATCGCGAAACAGGAACATCTTTCTCTTTTTCATTTGTTCTCTCCGCCTCCGTCTTTTCTGTCCAATGGGTGCAATGATTGTCACCTGTGTGGCTTTGTTTATAAATTATAGTCCACTTGCAAAAAAGCACAATGCAAACCAAATGAAATAAATCAAATCTGCATTTGGTCCGGACCAAACAAGTGGACCAAAAAACTTTCCTGGTGTGGATACACCCTACGACTCATTTCATTAAGACCTAAGTTAGAGCATTATACTTTTAGTCCCTTTGTTCTATTAATGGATTTCTCCCAAATAAACTTTGGTAAACTCTTGTGTACAAAAGTGTTATAAATTATACAGTATATAATAACTGAAACGTTCAGTGTGAAATGCTTCCCCTAAAGATTAGACTCAAAGCTCGTTATGAATCACTTAATACTCGGTTCTATCAAAATGTTTCCAAGCCTCGTCCTTAAAGTGGTGACTATGTTGACTAAATGAGTTGACAGTTCTTGTAAAAGGGCTACAATTAGAAAGACAGATTTCAGTGGTGCAGGCCTACACCATGCAACCATAGCATTGTGAGTTCAAATCTCTGCAAGACACTTAACTCAACTTCCCTGTGTATAAATATGTTGGTGTGATTGTGGTGGTCTGGAGGGACCGTAGGTGCAGAATGGCAGCCACACTTCCACCATGGAGTATGACTGAAGAGAGAAGGAATGATACATGAAACTGTAAAACGTCTTTAAGCATCTAGAAAAGACTTATATAAGACTAATGCATTGTTGTTGTTGTTGTTGTTGTTGTTGTTGTTGTTGTTGTTGTTGTTGTTGTTGTTGGTATTTTATTCTTGGACTGATGTGTCCAATGTAGCAGAAAATTTCCCCAATTATTTTTGACTACACTCAAGTGAAATGCACTGCTGAAAACTTTTTTTTGTATATTTGAAAGCACACACTCCAGTACTTTAACTTTAGTAAAAATTTGACAGAGCTAGTTTTACTTTTATTGGAGTAATATTTGACYGGTAGGATCAGTAGCACTTTGACTCAAGTAAGGAAACTAAATACTTTTTTCACCACTAAAGTCAAACACCTGCGATGCTATCATGATCAGGTAGAAGAACTGGACAGAAAACGTGTGAAAAAACAGCAAAAGTCCAAAGATAACTTTTAAAATACCTTCAAAACTAACAATCAGGACCGTTCTAAGAGTATAACAAGTCAAGCTCTTTGGGAGCTAAATCTAAAGATACAAAAGGTTTAAAACTTTTGCTCAGCATCGCACATTTCTAAAACCTCCATTTCAAAGTCAGTTTGTTGGTTAGAAATTGCTTTATTTAATTAGGTATAAATCACAGTCAGACAAAGCTGGTATGCAATAATTAATTTTCTTTTATCCCCAACACTCATCAGTAGGTCATCATGTTTAATCAAATGTGTTTAAAACATGCTGCTTTGACTGGGCATCACACAGTAACATGATTTCTCCCTTTATGGATGTTCAAAAGAGTAACATAGGTGGAAGAGGGAGAGATGAGAGAATAAGAACAAAAGTGAGAGCACTGGATTACTAATAGAAAGGTCAGAGCTCTTCATTTAACAGCCAGCGACTCATAAATGTCCTTGCGTCAGTGTTTTCATCGACCTTTGTTCATTGTGGATTCATGGAAATGATGTAGATGAAAAAGGCAGCAGAATTGAATTGGATTTTATGTATTGTAACTTTGCATGGCCTTGTGTGTAGCTCACCCAACACACAGGAGCACAGTTTTCTGAGCCTTTTTATAAGGCCTCCATTGATAGAAGCTTTGTCTGCTGTCATGACCCCAGTACTGACTGACATTGCTCAGTTTTTATTTTTTTTTTTTTTTTTCCTTTTTTTTTTTTTTTTTTTTTTTTTTTGTATCCTGCTCAAATTCAGTCATTTTCATGTTTGCTCACTTGATCAACTCGGATCTGCTGCCTTGCCTCAGCTATTTGTCCTCAGGGAAAAAAAACAGCTTCTTGACCATTTGCAGTCAGTTCAAGTGGGTCAGTGTGTGCATGTGCACTACGGCCGTGACCAGATAAAAAGTGACACTAATAAACATGGAGTGTTGATGACTTGTTTTGACCTGGCATACACACAAGCTTTCACATGTAAGAGTTCTCTCCAGAGGTAACAGCACCTTTCTTTCTTTGGTTTTCTCGAACCAGGTGACTGACGTTGCAGACGCCATGATCCTGAAGCAGCTGTTTGAGACGCTGTTCCGAACCGGAGTGGTGGTGGTGGCCACCTCCAACAGGCCCCCTGAAGGTATGACGAACGCATAAGTGTGTTACATTTTTAACAAAAGTGACTAAAGGGTTTATATTTTGTTAGTTAGGCGGTGGCGTTATCTTTCCCACGCTGTGATAACTCTCAGGTCCCTAAGATTTACCGCTACAAGTACATGGGATGCATTAAACATTTTTGATATTTAATTCTTAAAATATTTTAAACTTGAAGGCTCAGCTTAGAATCAAGTTTTAGATTGAAAAAAATCCATCCATCCATTATTTTTTACCCGCCTCTGCCTTTCAGGGTTACTTGTGCCCATATAGTCACTCTGCAAGGGGCGGGGTCCAACCTGGACAGGTCGCAAGTCCATCACAGGGCCAAATAGAGACAAATAAGACAGTCAACCATTCACTCTCCCACTCACATCTAGAGGGACAATTTAGAATTACCAATTACCCTAACAGTCATGTTAACCAAATAAATACAAGCAGCAATAAATATACTGTGCATGTTTTGTTGAGTGTATGTTCAAAATATGGATCTGGACTCGTTTCTGGTGAGAGTTGGACTCCGATTGTCACCAATTCTGTTCATAACTTTTATGGACAGAATTTCTAGGAGCAGACAAGGTGTTGAGGGAATCCTTTTTGGTGACCTTAGGATCACATCTCTGCTTTTTGCGGATGATGTGGTCCTATTGGCTTCAACAGATCCTGATCTCCAGCTCTCACTGGAGCGGTTCGCAGCAAAGTGTGAAGCGGCCAGGATGAGGATCAGTGCCTCCAAATCCGAGACCATGGTCTTGAGCCAGAAAAGGGTAGGGTGCCTTCTCCGGATCGGGGAGGAGGTCCTGCCCCAAGTGGAGGAGTTTAAGTATCTCGGGGTCTTGTTCACAAATGAAGCGGGAGATCGACAGGCGGATTGGTGCTGCGTCTGCAGTGATGCGGGCGCTGTACCGGTCTGTTGTGGTGAAGTGAGAGCTGAGCCAGAAGGCGAAGCTCTCTGTTTACCAGTTGGTCTATGTTCCTACCCTCATCTATGGTCACAAGCTTTGGGTAGTGACCGAAAGAATGAGATCACAGATACAAGCAGCCAAAATGAGTTTCCTAAGCTCGGTCATCCGGGAGGGACTCAGAGTAGAGCCGCTGCTCCTCCACGTCGAGAGGAGCCAGTTGAGGTGGTTCATCTGGTTAGGATGCCTCCTGGATGCCTCCCTGGTGAGGTGTTTTGGGCACGTCCCACTGGGAGGAGGCCCAGAGGAAGACCCTAATGGGAAAGTATTATAGACAATACATTATTCTACCACTTATCTGTGGTTCATTCACAGAGGCAACAAGTCCTGGATGGAAACCCAGACAGTGACATACTTTGGTTTCTTATGGAGAATCCCATGGTTTGTCCCAGGCCAGAGGGGTGAAGGTGGGCAACAATAAAATAATGTTGCAAAAGCTAGAATACATGTTTGCACGCCGGGAAAACAAAGATGTGTCGATTTTTAAAACCATAGACCCTCTGTCCCATGGATGCAAACACTTGAAATGCAGTAATTGCCTATTTTCTCACAAATTTCTCGCAATTTCGAGTTGCTAACAAATGTCCAAACAGTTGCAGCTTGTGTGATGCTATCTTGCAAAACCAAATTGTGACTGAAAGGAAACATTAAAAGGATTAATTGTGATCAAACTGAAACATAATTAAGACACTGTCACTGTTTTGACAAAATAAATCCATACCATTCCATGAAATGTCGCTTAAAATTAATTTGCAATTACGTACAACCGAAATCTGTCCACTGTCAACATGTTTCTTTACTTAAATCTGAAGTATTTACTAAATGGTTTCATTCAAAGATACCTGGCTTGAGCAAGAATCAATTAATCATTACGTGACCACACCAACTGCCCCCCCCCCTTTTTTTTTTACAGCAATTAACCACAGAAAAAAGGGGGAGGTGTAGTTGGTGCACTTCTTAGTTTCCAGTCTTTCACCAGGCTTTGATGTTACATTTACTGCCAGTAGAACCTGCATGGGGAAAAGAATTAGCGAGATGGTGATCAAGGTGGAGATAAATGTATGATGTGCTATCTGACGCCTCTCTTTCTTTGCAAAGATGTTGATGTCTCAAAGCCCTGAGTGAAGTGGGTGGCAGCAAAATGGGCTCTTGTAGACAAAGATGTGCATCTCTGATATTTGCTAGCTATTAAGAACAAAGCGCCAAGGCAGGCAAACTTGATAGAGAGCCTACTTGGTATTAATTACAAGGTTAATGGAACACTAAAAGCCATAAGAGACAACTGGGCTTGAAAGGCATACATTTTCAAGCTTTATTGATGTGGAGATGCAGGTATCAGAAAACCCTGGATGTGTTCGGAAGAGGAATTTAGAGTTTTTGCTTGAATATTTAAAATTCATTTTTCAGGTTCAATGTGAATAATGAGTGTCAGGAGACTAAATGGTGTCTTTTAGCAGCGAAACACTGTTGTTGTACCCATTCACATACTGTTTTAAATGCATGTATAAGAAAAATGTATTAAAGGGGCAATATTATGTGTTTCTCAGGCATACATTTAAATACTATGCCTTAATAAAGTATCTATGTCACCTTTAGCTGTTATTAAAATGGTGTTTTTATGTTTAAATAGAAAATAAACATCTTCTCATCACTTCCTCTTCTAAACTTCTTGAAATTGGCCTCTGTCTCTTTAAGAACCTCCTTCTGCTTCTGACTCGCGGGGGAGGGGGAGGGGGACGACACTCACGGGGCAGGGGCTGCCGTGATGCAGTTTACTTGTCATCTGAAAATACATTTCCTCAAAGGTATTTTTAATCTGAAAAGAGCTTCACTGAGTGAGAGCTAATGTTGAGAACTCGGCAGACATTTTAAGTTTCACTTTCACTTTCACCAAAGAGCCTGTGGGAGTCATGGGCGGGGTGTGTGGGGAGGAGGGGGGTGCTCCGCCATGAGGAAATTCAGCTTAAAGACACGTCCCAGAGGCGTTCCTGGTCCCAAAAGGTGTTTCTGGTCCCCACCTGTCGTTTTGCTCCTCAGCATGGCTTCCTAAAAACGCTGCAGGATTTCTCAAACATGCATGAATGAGTCAAAGCAAGGCTTTGGGCATGTTTTTTATGGGAGTATAACATTATAACATGATGCAAAACTCAAAAAAGTGGATTTTACATGATATTGCCCCTTTAACATTTTCATCAGTTGCTTCAGTTTAAGAGGAAAATCAGATGACTTCAACATGAGCTCACTTTTTAATCAACCACACTGCCCTTTTCTTGAATAGTTTAATATTTTGGTAAAAAAGAAAAATCAATGCAAGCACCAAGCATCTTTAAAACTCACTAATTAACTATATGACATAATAGTTATATTATGTCAGATTAATCAATACAGCAGAAGTCATATCCACCACTCAGACAACAGAGTGGTATTGATCTTTGATCTTTTGAAATGACTCAAAGCAAATAAATTGCTGTCCCAAAATATTGATTTGTATTCCTTTAACCCTAACAATGGCTGTCTCATTTACAGCACACATCATTACGGAGTTTGAAAAGTGGGATTTATGTGTTTGTAGGTCTGAGCTGAAGCCCAACGTTGTTTGTTTGCATCTGTTAAGCCTCCCTGTCTGTGTGCGTCTTTGTCCCTGTTTGTGTGTGAGTCCCTATCYGTTTTATCTGTCTATCCGGGATGCTACTTCAGATCTAATTTGTTCCAGCCGAGCTAATTGAAACCTCCATTCAGCGAGCCGCTGTGGACATTGTCCGCGCTGAAAAGGCGACAGTCCTTTTCTCTCGCCACCATTGTTTGGGAATGTAATGAATTTTATGTTGCTGCCGCCAGCGCCGGTGCAGAAATCCATTTTTCTCCCCCCCCACCACCCCCCACCCAGTCCTGGTTCCTCGTCCTTTTGTGGCGCCTCCCCACCCATCCTTCAGTTCATCAATAGCCAATTTATCTGCCAATCTGTGGCGGGGGAATGACATTATTAGGAGGCTAAACAGCAGCTCTCACACAGGCCCTCCCTCCTCTTTCAGATCTGTACAAAAATGGACTTCAGAGGGACACCTTCCTACCTTTCATCGACGTGCTAAAGGTAGAGACAAAGTCACCCCTCTCTCTTGTCTTGTTAATTTATTCATTTGTTTATCACACACCTACACACACTTGCATCTGCGCCTCAGTCCCTAATGTGTACGTCCTTTTGCGAGTTGCTCTCCCATGGTTTGATGTTTTTTTTTTACTTCCTGGATGCCTCGCAGCGTCACAAAGCTGTCTTTGATCATACCGGGGCACACAGAAGGACTGAACAGGGGAAGAAAAAAAAGAATATATGGAGATGGGCAGAGTGAGAGTGAGCACAGGTAATGTGAAAGAGTGGACTGACTCACACGCCTTCAAAAGTAAAGAGGGTAAGAAGGGGGCGAAGGAGAGCGATGCAGCAGTCAGCTATTTCTAGAAAGGGAAAAAAAACTACTTTGCAATTTAAACAGCTCGCACCATTATCCTGCCTGCATATCAGATGATCATTGATGTGTTTGGAGTGATCATAAATAATGGTGTTTTTGCATTTTGCAGCAGCTGTGGACAGCATTCTTACACCTTTTATTGGTATTTAATATAAACAAATAGTAGCACCTCGGCTTCTTCTGCCCATCGCTTTACACACCTGCTTACATTTTTTACTATTTAGAGGCAGAAATAAATGTCAGCGAGAAAACCAATATGTGACCCATCACATTTAAACGAGGATTAAGTCCAAAAGTTGTATATGGAGAAATAGGCAAATAGAGTGTTTTGACTGAAATGTTAACAAAAATTGCATTTTTTCAAAATATAATGAATAAATGCCTTATCAATGTATCATTTGAGTGAACTGTCTGAAATATAACCATAAAACAAAATTTTGAAGCACTTTTTTGAGGAGTAGCAACAAAAAAACTGATTTTGAGGAAAAACACCTTAAAATTTTGAGATTTTTCCTGTGAGCTAGCGAAGTTTTGTTTCTTTTTAGCTGGAAAATCTCAATATTCAAATATAATTTGAGGTTTCCTCTTTATAAGGACATCAAAAAGTCCTCATTAAAATTACACATCATATTAGGATTCAGACCAAATATTTATGTATTATTGTAACCAACAAGACAAATTAAGTCATTTATTTGGAGTTAATTATGATAACAGAATGATCCAGGTATCAAAATGCAGCTTTTAAAGCCAAGAATCTGAAAATGTAATTAGGTCATTTTGACCAAATTTGACTTAATCCTCATTTCGATATGATGGGTCACATATTTTGCTTACCCTTCAGYTACACGATACAAATTATAGCTGAGATTACAACTTAATGGGTGTTTTGACMACATTTTAATAATTCTTTGTGAGGGGAAGCATCTTATTGTTTGTATTTAACATACATTTTATTATACATTAAATTTATTTTAGTAAACCACACAATTTGGCTTTATGTATGATCTATATCAAGGTAAAGCTGATGGTGTGTGTTTGTGCACACCTGGCTTTTGCTACYTTTACTGGCATCATCACCTATCCTGTGGAGTTTGAAAAGTCAGATTTATGTGTTTGTGGGTCTGTAAACGCATTATAGTAGGACCAAAGTCTGGTTTTAATAAGATGGTATGCTATTTTTTAAGTAAGTAAGTAAAWAAAGTTTTATTTATATAGCGCCTTTCACAGAAATAAATTCACAAGGTGCTGTACATTCAGGGAATGGGGGATGGGGCAGTTAAACACCCATTCAAGAAGACATACAAGACAAACATGGGGGAACAGGTGAAACTGGTCATGCAGCAAACACAGTTGCGCTACCTTTAACAACAGCTTGAAATACACAAAAGGAAAATTGAGTTAAACAACCCGCGAGAAAGAAATGACAAACCAAACACAAATTTCTTCACTTTTTTGTGCTAAATTAATAATAATAATGAGTTTTATATTTTATGTTGTATTTTGCAAGATAAAGCATTCACAATACTGAGACCAGTTTTTTCTTCTGTACATTTTTTGGCATCTCGTTCCGCACTTTTTGTACAATTTTTTTCAGTTTATACATAAAACATTCGGCTCCTTCAGGACATTCCTGTTATGAGTTTTGGCACTTCAGCTGTTGAAACTTTTTGAGATATTTAGCTTTTTCGGCCATGTTTTCTTTGTTGAAAATGAATAGAGCTGTTTTCAACATCCTTAAAAACATTTTCTTTTAGAGGACTTTTTCTTCTGGTTCTGCCATTTTCAGCTTCTTTTTGCGTATTTCAGCTTCCTTCGTCTGCTGTTTTGTTGTTTTTACCTTTGTCTGCTTTTTTACAATATGATGTTTTCTCCCATTTTTCTGCCAATTTATATTTTTTGTGCTTTCAGCGTATTTCTACTAGGATCTTCAATGCAATTTAATGTTTTCTGAGTTTTTAATTTGAGCTTTTTCCAGCTAAATTAACCTTGTGATAAAGTCAGCTTCTTACTGTTTAATTCAGCAAACGTGCTCATTCTGTTTCTTTGTGCTAATCTCAACTATTTCAGATACTTCTAAAATGCGTCTAGTTTCAGATTTTTTGCTATTCAGCAAAAAATGTTTCAGCATTAAGCATTCACACTGCATTTTCGCATGAAATGCAAATTCTCTAGTTATTAATGCACCATATAAGRCCACTTATAAAAACTCAAAAGAGATCTTTGTAACATGGATGTTTAACGTGATTACCCAGAGATGGTTTAATCATCACACACAAACGCAACAACTTGGGAAGTCTTGGGGTTACCCTCCACCCCTCACCCACCGATCCAGCAGCGACCTTGCCCTCTCTAATCCACCCTCATCAAGCTCCTGAATGCCTGTTGTCCCTCTCTACCCTGAAATACCTCCTTTCTTTCAGGGTACCATGTTCCTCTTTGTGAAGCCATCTGGTTTTGGGAGGGTCGGGGTTCTTTTTTTTTTTTTTTTTTTTTTTTTT